TGCTTGTCTGTAAAGCTTTTGAGTTCTCCTGCATATCTGAATGAGATCCTTGCTGGGTAGAGTAATCTAGGCTGTAGGTTATTCTCTTTCATTACTCTAAGTATGTCCTGCCATTCCCTTCTGGCCTGAAGGGTTTCTATTGATAGATCAGCTGTTATCCTTATGGAAATCCCTTTGTGTATTATTTGTTGTTTCTCCCTTGCTGCTTTTAATATTTGTTCTTTGTGTTTGATCTTTGTTAATTTGATTAATATGTGTCTTGGGGTGTTTCGCCTTGGGTTTATCCTGTTTGGGACTCTCTGGGTTTCTTGGACTTGGGTGGCTATTTCCTTCCCCATTTTAGGGAAGTTTTCAGCTATTATCTCCTCGAGTAACTTCTCATGGCCTTTCTTTTTGTCTTCTTCTTCTGGGACTCCTATGATTCGAATGTTGGGGCGTTTCACATTGTCGCAGAGGTCCCTGAGGTTGTCCTCATTTCTTTTGATTCTTTTTTCCTCTCTGCTTCATTTATTTCCACCATTTTATCTTCTCACTCACTTATCCTATCTCCTGTCTCTGTTATTCTACTCATGGTTCCTTCCAGAGTGTTTTTGATCTCATTTAATTATGATACTTCAGAAAATAAAAAGACAAGGGAATTGATATTTCACGAGAAAAGTATGAATTCAATTTTGTCCTATGTTTGAAGTAATAGTAAGACATAGAAGTGAAAATGCTGAGATTTCACTATTTATTCATTCAGTGTATATTTACTGAAGGCCTAATATGCACCCGAGGCTGGCTTGGGTGCTGGGAAAACAATGATATTTTTGATACCTATGGTCCCAGTCCTCACTGAGCTTAAAATTTACATGGCCAGATAAATGGGAAATGAGGCACAGGGCTCAATCAAGTGAGAATTCTTAGACCTCAAAAATATTCACTTAACAACTTGGGATAAAGATAAAAGAGGCAAGAGTAAGCTCTGAACCAGCCAACAACGAGGACCCTCATTCTACATTCAGAGCAAGAAAGTACAACGTGAAAGCGTTAGAAATTGTGAAAATGATTTCTAAACAAATCATAAAGCTTTAACAAATTGGCAAAGGAGTGAGAACTAAGGCAATCTTAAACACTTTAACAAGCTGGCAACATGGGAAGGAAAGAATATGCTATTCATGGTGAAATAAATTGTGGTTTTAACTTCTCATCTGGGCCAATTGGAAAGCTTTCTTTGACCTCAGATATATTAAGGACAAATGTGTGCATTCTTCCTTTCAAAGCCCATGAAGAATAAAACATGTAAATTAAGCATATCTACTCTCCAATGAATGTGAACTCAGAAAAGGCTCTAAAAATATGGGAGCCCTGCATGGACCCTATGGGAATAGGAGTGGAAACATACCACCAAGAATAAAGTGACATTGCATTAATATTTCCAAGCTTAAAACAAATAAAACAAAAAAACAGGAATTTTCTCATTGGAAACTCACCATAATAGAGCTTTGATATGTAAAGTCAAAAATCAAAGTATAATAAAAAAATGTTTCCAACAAATTATTTGCCCTTGCATAGGATAAATGAAGTGACACAAATCAATGTGAAATGATTGTTTCTAAAAACTCAGAAACTTTACACATGATGCTAAATATTAGAGTTAGTGGATTAAAATGACACCAGTTGATGTTCCTATAGCAAGCTGAGGGAATTCATGTTCCAATGACTTTGTCAAAATACACTCTTGAAGGAAAACTTGACCTGTCTTAATCTGATTTTCAAGAAGGAATCATTCCCTATAGCTATTATTGCTTGTTTTAACCTACTGGATTAGTCTAAAGTCTAAAAAATAAAAAAAAAGAATCTACATAATCATATGAGGGTGGATTTCTCCAAATCTGCTTCTAATTATGCTAACTGAGTTGTTCTGGTGGATTTATTTGGGTGTTTATAATATGTATTGTAATTCCAGAGCTTTTAAATAAGGACTATTATTTTTTCTCAAATAGTTACAAAGACTTTAAAATGTCAAGTCTTTATTAACTGTTCTAACTAGGGAGAAAGGAGGCATGGGTAAATAAAATTCACAAGTACTCCAAATGCTTCTTTTTGCCATTAGATTTAATTCTTTGCTCTTAATTCTTAGTCATGTCCTAACAATTTCCTATTTCTGTCAAGATACTTTGATCCTCCCACTCAGGTTTGAAAGCTGGCAAACATCTTGACATGTCATTAGTGAATCTTTTATAAAACTTCATTCTAGGCAGAATTATTTATTTTAAACATTGTGATTTGACGGCATGACTCTACCTATTTGATGAGAAGACCAGAGCCAGGGTGCCTGGATGAGGAAGTGAGAGGGTGAGGTGCACGTGTGGTCTCAGTAGCGTGGGGCCTTCAAGTCAACTACTTTGGATAAAACTTCTAGCTCCATCGGGTATCTGTTCCTCTGTCTTCTCCATATTTATTATCGACTTTTGCTGTCATACCATGACAACATGTGTCAATTAGAATCAATCATCAGATAAGTTGTTTTGTGGAGGGGTCAGGAGAGCCAAGTGAAATTGAAGACAATGAGGCTTGAGGACAGGAGGAAATCACATCAAATCCTGTTCTAGGAATTGGCAATTGACTGAACCTTATGGATTTATCAAGCAAGTTTAGTAAGGGTTACAATCAGCTATGTTTTGTTACAAGAGTATCAAATCTTGCTTCCCGCTTCCTTTCTTCTTGCCCAATCCTCCCCTCCTTTCTTTTTTTTCCTTCTTTCTTAACAAGAGACTAAAAAAAGGAAAAGGAAAAAGAAACTGACCCACAGATGTTTGTTTTCTCAGCATTAGCACCCTGTACCAACTCATTAGCAAAGTTACCTCAAGAAAGTAAGTTCTTTTAGGAGTCCATTTCCAAATAAAGTTAAGTTTCAGGTTTAGCAGTGGGTAAAATAAGGAATATTTCAGATTCTTCGAAACAGTTCAAAATTATTTTTTAAAAACTTTAGCTTTGGCATCATCTTCTACATGCTTTTTTCAAAGAACTTCTTCCTTCAGAACTATGGGCATGTGAAAGAAAATTTCTTTCTTTCTTAGTTTAGATTTCCTAATCAAAGTCATATGAATGGTAGTTTTGAGAACTTAAACATTTTAAAACTCTTTATTTTCTGTCCAATTTAGACAAATAAAAAGAAGTAAAGCAATACAAAAAATAGACATTTGGCCAAAAAGTATATTAAAAAGTTTTCAATATATTTAGTACAAGGGAAAAATACATATTAAAATAATAATGAGATATAACTACACTAGGATACCTAAATTGAAAAATGCTGATGACATGAAATGCTGGTGAGGATATGGAGCAACCAGAACTCTCATACACTGCCTGTGGGAATTTAAACGGAAAATTAGGCCCCCAAAAATATACATCTTCCCTGTGACATAGCAATTCTACTTTTAGGTATTTATCTAGTGTTAGTAGTGTAATGTTAGTCACTTAGTCATGTCCGACTCTTTGTGACCCCCTGGGTTGTAGCCCACCAGCCTCCTCTGTCCATGGGATTCTCCAGGCAAGCATACTGGAGTGGGTTGCCACTTCCTTCTTCAGAGATATTTATCTAAGATAAATTAAAAGGTATGTCTACAAGAATCTTATACAAAAATGTTTATAAAATTTATCTTCAAAATAACCAAAAACAAGACACAATTCAGATGTCTACCAGCAAGAAAAATGGATCAAAAAATTCTGAAATACTCACATCATGGAATAATACTCAAATAAAAAAGGAATGAACTATTCATGAACTTACAATATCATGAATGAATCTCAAAAAACATGCTGAATAAATAAGATATACACAGAAAGAGAAGAACTTATGATTTTGTTTACATGGAATTTTAGAGCAGATCAACTCTCTAATACTTTCTAGGGTGATGAAAGAACATTTTTTAATGGATTGTACAGTACATGGTTACATACTTTTTCTGTAACTGACTAAACTGTACACATAAGATCTGTGCATTTTACTGGGTTTAAATTATATTTTCATAATGAAGTCTTTTATTTTAAAGAAGGGATGAAACAAATTTTAAAAATCTTAAAGTCATTTTGAGTATTTAAAATAAAATACCTTTTAAAATAAATGTTCCTTTTGGTTGAAGCTTGAAAATTCTGATTGTCAGATGCAAAATTTTGAATTTTGAAGCTACTGTAGTGAATATTTATGACAAGCAAATATCACCTTATACCCAATTTAGAATCATGGTTCAGCATTTAGTACAGTGCCCAATACATAGACAATGCCAACTCTATGTGTTGAATGGATAAATGGCAGTGATTTAAAAATAAACTTGGGTTTTTCTTATTTTGTTCTACCAAAGAAGATGGTGGCTTCATTTCCAAAGGTGCTTTTCCTTGACCTACATTTCTCCATGTGTCCCTCTCCCCAGTTTTCTAAGCCAGTGATCTCTAAACTTAGGTGGGGACCAGAATCTACTGGAGGGCTTGTTAAAACACAAATTACTTGCCCCACCCTTGAAGTTTCTGATTCAGTAAGTCTGGAGATCTGAGAATTTCCATTTTTGGTAAGTTCCCAAATGATGCTGGTGCTGATGCTGCTTGGTTTAGGGACCAAAGTGAGAGAATCAGTGTTTTTAGCACTTTATCAATTGGCAGACCAAAGATCCATCTTTTTCAAACCAAGGGTCAAATGTTGCAACTTTTAACAATCTCTCCTAATTGCTTTCAACCTTATCCTCTGAGTTTTTCTTACACTTATTACTGATAACCCCACTTACTATTTGGCTTATTTTTCCTTCTGTTTTTTTCTTTGGAAAGAAAAAAATATGTGTATGTGTTTTCTGTTCAGGTAGATGGTAATTCCTGAAATGTACGGGCTCTGATGAGTGTGTCTTCATTCTCCTCAAACCTAGAACAAACTCTCCAGCAAAGAGCTGATCTGCAGATACTGATGCCCCTGACATTTACACGTCCTTTTCAGATGAAAAATAAAATTTTCCATAATGGTGAATTACCTGTCATTGGGACACTGACTTGGCAATGTCCAGTCATGGTGAGGGTTAATGAGGAAGCCCCAGGACAGGAAGACTGAGCTTGGTGACAGAGTGCCAACCACCAGCTGGAGAGGTTTGCGAGATCGTTTTTTACCTACAAAGGGAACAGACAGGTTAATTCTTGTAGCATTTAGCATATTTTCATGATTTGGGTAAAATATACAAAGATAATCTAGTAAGATGATGAAGAATGTGAAAGCATTAAGTTCCTTTTCTTTTTATATACTGCACAAATATTAATAATGCTTTGCCCATGAATTTAAGCAAGAATCAAATGAAATACCCTCTTGAGATTTACATGTATGTGTCTATGCATATAAACTATATCCATTTCTAGTTTTTATTTTCTTGTGGGCCAAGGATGAACATGGAGGTCTTGGCTATTACCAGTGAAATAAACACACACAAATACACATATAGGTATATATACATTTATTTTTCTTTTACAGACAAGATAAAATGTATGCTTATTTTTTCCCTGAAACTGTGAATTAGTTTCACTCCTAGAAACATCTAAGAAAAGTTACCATCTAGGTTGATGGCTATATTCTTTTTTTTTTTTTTTAACTATTTGGAAGTGTAAAATCTCTTCTCAGAGCATTTCAATGAACTGTCTCTCTCTTTTTTTTTTTTTTTACAGTAAGTATTGAAACAGAAAAGGTGCACACATTCTTAATATTGCTGGAAGAATAGGAATAATATAGGAAGCAGTTATTCTGACAAGACTAATTGGATTTGGGCAATGCCAAGTGTGATTCTGATAAACCACTCTAAATTCTTTTCAAGTATATGTGAGGGGCATATATGTGCTTTTTCAAAAATATTTGAAACTTTAGGAACAGGAGGACAGTGAAAAGGAGGAGTGCCTGTTACTTCTGTTAGGTTTGAGTTGTATTCATGGTTATTCTGGCAGGAAAGCCCTCTAAGACCAGAATATACATGATCTAGTTGTGGTCAGTGACTTCACTGTGACATAGATGCATTTTTTAAAAGATAGCTTAAATAATTTTCAAGGATGTTTATTATTTAGTTAGTTGCAAACATGCAATTATACTTCTCTATAAGTTTTTCCAGTTTACCTGTAATAGTACCTTATCTGACTATGATTCAAAGGGTTCAGTTCTGGCCCCTAAAGAGGGCAGGTTAGAATCAGAGATAATGTGATTCTGATAAGCTGTCTTTTCTATCCCTGAGTTGATTTTCACTCATATAGTTGTCTCATTTTATAGATGAAAAATAAGGCCTGGAGTAATTTCAAGGTTGTCCAAGGTCACAATGAGAGCACGGTTAAGACTCAAATCCAGGTCTCCTGAATCGTAATATAGTTTTCTAGTTTTCTTTTTATTACATCACTAGTTTATCTCACAATGTATGAAGGGAATGCCATTTAGAAAAAATACATGTCTCCTTCCTCAAGGAATCTAAAGTTTATACGACTAAGTTCACTGTTTGGATCTTCAATTTTAATTATTTAATCATTTTTAAATTATGTGGCAGATACAAATATAAAATGAATGGAAGCTAATCCATTACTCATTACATCGCTCTTCAATGCAGATTACAAAAACAAAAATTATATCCATTGCCTGAAAGGAAAGCTGGGGTATTATAGCCTGATCAGGATGAAACTATTTCCTGAGTTGGTCATCACATAGTGAAAAATAATCTAGGGAGCCCACAAATGAAGTTATAAACTGCTATTAAGGTATAATCACTCTCTTGACTTTTCTTACTTATTTTTGCATATTTGTTTTATGACCATATTCAGAAAAATTTCAGTAACTATGAAGCCAGAATCCCATAGAACCACACTCATGCTTCCCGACTTTATCGTTAAATTTTTTGAAATAGAGTCCTCAAATACTGGAGCACTTTTCTTTGCAAGTGTATGGAAAGCTTCTTGGACAATGATCACTAGTAAGTTTTAAGTACTGATTGAAATCTCCCTTGTGCTTTGGGATATTATAAGAGGTCAAGTAAAAGGATCTGTAGTTCTCAAAATAATTAACCATTTATCGCTTCTCTTAAAAAAAAAAAAAAGAGGAAACCAACAGAAGCCTCAAGGGGAGAGGATTGCAGCAACTGGTTTTTGGTGACCAGGCATGGCTGATCGACTGAGGATACAGAATACATAGCTGCCAAGGGCCCATTTGCTCAGTATCTGCACCTTCCCCCAACACGTCTTATCCCTTTGAGAAAGATCCTTCTTTCTGTGTGGCATCCCGTGTACTGTAAAAGGCAAATATGATTAGGGAATAATTATTCTGAGAACAGTTCACATTAGAACATGAAAAAGAAAGGCACCATGATCAACTCTGTCTACAGACTAGGAAGATGTGACCTAAGATATTAAAAGCATAGTCACAGCTTTATTAGTCCTTCCTAATAGCAAGGGCGTGCTGTTTGATCTGAGAAGAAATTTTAGCAGTGAAATTGGGGCAACGTCTTCCTTAGTCATAGAAATATTTCTGCTTTTTTATACACATGGTATCTAGTTGCCTGTTTTACATCTCCCTAGCCCTGGGAAGATGGGTGTCGCACTGCTGTTTTATGAAAGAAGTCTTGTTTTCTGTGTCTAACTAAATACAAGTGGTTTGGAGGCATAAATAAAATCCAAGTCCCAACTCATTTAACACACTTGTAAATGAGTTATGCTTTTGAAATGTCAAGTTTCCTTCAGCAAAGTTTAGATCTCACATTTTGCCCTAAAAATCTGAAAGACACAAGAGCAGGCTTTAGTTCACACATTGCAACATAGAGGGAGTCAACAGGAGCTAAACTCTAAATAAGCGCTTACTCTGGGCCAAGTCTGTCTTCTGTAGCTGGGAACTCATCTCATCCTCGCCCAGATCCCTCCATGCAGCAGGACAGAGGCTAGAGAGGTTCAATAATTTGCCTCAACCCCCTGCTGTTTGTATGTGGTGGGGCGGATAAGATCCAAGGAGCTTCTCCCAACCAGGCTACACTACTTCCCAAGCAGGGTTATCTGTTTTCAGGGGACTGCTGGGCATCGTACATATTCTAACCTACCTTCCTGAGGCATCCCCAAGGCGCGTGGTCTCCATGGGTGGAAAAGAGATGAAAAGGCATGGTTTAAAGTTAACAATAATAATGAATCAACAAAAATACCTGAGCATGACTTCTTTTGACTGGGGGGAGGAGCGGGCCGTACGACGATCAGATATTTAGGCTCGGCATCTGGAAATGGTAACATTATTTATCAGTAAGATTCTTTGTGAACAAGCAGCCTTCATGACCGCACACCCATTCCTGACTCAATGTTCCCCGGCCTTAGTCACTGTAACCACAGAACCGGCGGGTGAGAGCGCTCAGGCATTCGGAAAGTTCATACTTCCTGTGATGGTTCAGGCCATTAAGTTTTTAAAGTGAAGATTAAATCCAGATTTTCAAAACCTCATGGACAGGAATGGGGGAGAAGTCTTAAAAGAATCATGCTAGGGACACAGATTTCATTGCACATTTTCAATAGTCCTTTTCTCTGCAAATAACTTTTTTTTTTTTAAATCAGATCATGTCTCATCTGTAATCCTACTCCTCACAGAAGATTAGAATGGTGCTTCAAAATCAGAGAAGGAAAATCATACTTGCACAGGACACATGAGTCTCAACTGTTGAGGGATCTGAAACTGCTCATTTCCTGGGTATCTGAATATTCTTCATAATATCCTATTTTTTCTATCCTGTTTGCATAATTTTTCAACCTGTTATCACATCCAATCATTTTCATGAAAAATTTTAAAACAAAGTCACAATTTAAGTTGGTGTAATTTCCACATAAATATACTGAAGGAAAACAGAGAATCTCTTTAAAATATTTAGGTTTTGTTGCAGGAAATTTGTGGGCTGGTATCTTGATAAGTTTAGGTTACATGGGTGTATTTGTTGAAACGTATTGAACAGTAACAAAAGGGTCCTACCAGATAGTACAGGGAACTATATTCAATATCCTATGATAAACCATAATGGAAAAGAATATGAAAAAGAATATACATGTATAACTGAAAAAGAATATATATGAATATATATGTATATGTATGTCACTTTGCTATACAGCAGAAATTAAACACAACATTGTGAATCAACTGCATTTGAACAATTTTTTTTAAACACTGAAAAATGTGGACAGTAAAAAAAATTAAAAATTTAGGTTTGAAGTAAAATGATATCTAGACAATAAATAAGTGCTAACTCAATCAAGGGCTGAAAATTTATCAAATAATTTTTAAAATTAATGTTTCCAAGATGAATGGTTGATTTATGCAGTGTATACATAAGCCAATACACTTCAGGCATTAAGAAAACAGCATTTTATAAGAAGCTCTATTGGACTGATTGATTGATTGATGGGTATTATCTACAACAGTTCTTCAGTAACTTTGGATCCTGGAACTCATTCTACACTGAACTTCATCTGGATGCTATCGTCAATCACAGTTCACTCCTACTTGCTCAGACAGAGCTCACATCTTGGTTTGTTTTCATTCAAATATCTCCTCTCCATGTGTTTGGAACAGAGGCCTTCTCTGCCCAAGGCTTTACAGGGCTGACCTCATTTTCAGCCAGAGACAACCTGGCATTCAATCACATTCAATAACTCAAGCCTTTGTCTTTTTCCTGGACACCTCACATGGCTCCATTTGCTATAACCTGCTGCAGTAATTACCACTGCAAATAGGTTAACCAGATAACCTCTTGAACTGACCTTAGAGCTTTGCTCACTGATCACATTGGTGCCTAAAGACTGCAACACAGATTAACGAGCATTCACAGATAAAGCATAGTTTCAGAGTCTCATGTGTTTGAAAGCATATCTTGCCTAGTGGAACTATAAAGAAAGCTCAACCTAAGATTTCTAGTAGGAATATAATAACAATTTCCTGATTTTTATTTGTGACATACAACAATATAAGTGGTCTTCCCAGGCCCACTAGTGGTAAAGGACCCACCTGCCAATTCAGGAGACATAAGAGATGTGGGTTTGATCCCTGGGTCAGGAAGATCCCCCGGAGGAGGGCATGGCAACCTACTCCAGTATTCTTGCCTGGATAAACCCATGAACAGAGGAGCCTGGCGGGCTATGGTCCATGGTGCACAATATGAATGTTAAGAAACTACTGAGTATTGAGCACTTTCTATGTGCCGTTATATTCATAATTTAATCATTCCTCATGGCAATGCTAACTGACCAAGTACTATTCTCATCCCAGTTTGTAGATGAGGTCACTGGGGCTGGGTCAGCCTCATGGGCAACATGTACAGTCACATAGGGAACCAAGCTCAGAAGAGTCCCATGCTTGGTTTAATATCCTGCTTTCACCCTCTTGAAATTCTTAATACTTTTATCTTTTGAATTCATCTTTTGTAAGTCATCCAATGGGATAATGGAGCATGAGCAGGGACGACAGAAACAATAACTCCTGTCTGCACTTCTTTCTATCCACATAGAGCATTCTAGGTGACCATTAGCATTCCAAAGGGCCCATGACATGTGGGAGTCCATTGAGAGTCAAAGGCCAAATAAGGTAAGCATATTACATCTATGACTCAGTAAGGGACTGTGGAAGGGACACTCACATCCTTGTGAGGTTACACTGTCCATTTGAACCAGAACTTGCTTCAAGTGCAGAAAGAAGGGAACGACATTTTAAAAAACAAAAATGACCAAAGAATCCTATCATGTGCTCACTTATTCATGTTCCTTCCCTGTATTAACCAGCCACTGACAATGAAAGTTAGAACACAGAGGGAAAGGAAAAGCTAGAGAAGCCTCTGCTTCCTCTTCTTCTCAGTTCTTCACTTGGCAGTAAGTGGAAGGCAGAGAGTATTAGTAAAATGTGCATGTATCAAAAGTTGAGCTCTGTGCATGCCCACTAGTGTGGCAAGAATAAAGTACACATGCATATAGGAACTGCAAAATACATACTGTGTCGCTTCAGTGATTCTGCTTAGGAGCTAAAGGTTCTCACATGCGTGCATGCTAGGTCACTTCAGTCATGTCTGATTGTTTGTGACCCCATGGACTGTAGCCCGCCAGGCTCCTCTGTCCAAGGGATTCTCCAGGCAAGAATATTGGAGTGGGTTGCCATGCCCTCCTCCAGGGGACCTTCCTGACCCAGGGCTTGAACTTCTGTCTCTTATGACTTTTGAATTGGCAGACAGTTTCCTTACCACTAACGCCACCTGGAAGCCTAAAGGCTCTTATATCTGCCTTTAAAACTAGCTTTGCATTATTTAAAGAAAGGCTAATAATTTAAACTCTTAATTTTTCTTGACTTAAATAACCTGCAGTAGCAAATAAAATAGCACCATAACAAGTGGAGAGAGAAACTGTGGAAGGAAGGAAAAAAACTTTATATTTTAGTACCTTTAATGATATTTTTTTCTGACTTTTGAACCATGGACCCTGTGTTTTTATTTTGTACTTGGCCCTGCAAATTATGTAGCTTCCTTAATCTTGTCCACAAAATGTCCTTTTAATAAGTCTCTGAACTCACATCTAGGAAAAAAAAGCTAAATCCCATTTTTCTTAAATTGTTCTCAATGTGGCAGAGTCTGTTAGAGTTAGCCTTTAATTTCCTTCCATGATACGTATTAATTCAACTATGCCTTGGTCGTTTTAAAAAAAGACCTGAAATACTAGAAAAACAACATGCAGAGAAGCCATACGGTTACATGAGCAATTTAAAAGTGATTTTGGTTATGATCACAGTCATTCTCCATACAGCATAGCCTGTCACAGCCAATTACAAATTGGAACAGATGTTGGGACTTGGGTGCATAGGCTGGCTCTCGCTGCTCATAAGAAGCTTCCAAATCCGTGTATTTCAGCAGTCTTTGCACTCAGTTGGGAACACAGACATGGAAAAACAGAACAACTGGAAAACAAGATTTCAATTTCTGTTCTGCCCTATGAAGTTCTTTATGGATCTGCAGCAGTCTGGAAATACATACTCTGTACCCTGATCAGAAATGCTGGCAACACATGCCCCAAATCAACTACTTCCTTATTTAGAGAATACACATTATTAAGAAATTTTAATTTGTATAGAATGCAGTTAACTTGACAAACTTCCCATTCCTGATGATTTTTAAGGCTATACCATGCTGCAGACCTAATTTGCTTCATATTTTGAATGCCTTGTGGTAGAGGATAAGGACAGCTTCCTGTTTAAGGAAATCTATTATTGAAATCTTTCATAAAGTCCTAGATTTTTTGGTAATGCAAATACCCCTTTCATAATCACTCTACTTAAAACAACCTAATTCTCACATGTTTATTTAGGGACATCTGTACTGCAAGCCACACTGCTTTAGAATGCTGTTGTAGTGAATTTTTCCCTGCCATGCAAGTTTCCACAAAAGAAACATAAAATAAACCAGGATGATCCTAAAGGTAATGGACCTGAACAAAATAGTGTATTTACCCCTGCCTTTTTTGGGGGAGGGGGGTAAACAATTCAGTTTAATGACAAACTAAATTTTTGGGCATAACAGCAGGGACCCTGGAGCCTGCAATCAAATCCTGCTCAGCTAGTTGCTAGCACAAGGAAAAATATTCAACATCAGTGCACCCAGTTCATCATGTGCAAAATGGGAAAAATCATAATACCTGGGCTCATAGGGTTTTTAGTTATGTTTATGCACACAAAGTCCTAATTTACTGTTAGCTATTATGATGATGGTGGGCTTTCCAGGTGGCTCAGTGGCAAAGAATCTGCCTGCCAATGCAAGAGACACAGGTTCGACCCCTGGTCTGGGACGATCCCCTGGAGAAGGAAATGGCAACCACTCCAGTATTCATGCCTGGAAAATTCCATGGTCAGAGAAGCCTGGCGTGCTATAGTCCATGGGGTCACAAAAGAGTCAGACACGACTTAGCGACTAAACAAAAACAAATCATGATGATGATTTCTTAAAAGGTGAATTTTGTGTCCAAAGAATCCTGAGAACATATTTTAAAAGGAAGAAGTTCAAACCTAAGTTTTTAAAACAAGTAAAAGTTCTAAAATGCAAAAATTTCACAAAAAAAATAAAACTACACACTATCCTGGCAAAGATTCTCTTGCTTGATCAAACTCTAATCAGGCTCTTGTGAGCTCTTGCTCTGCTAGGCTCTGACTTTTGGGCTTCTGTGTTCATTTCTACATTGTCTGGTTTGAGCAGGAATCCTGAAAAGG